CGCAGTAAGGCAAGTGAGCGCGACGAAGTCGAGCGGGGCGCTCAGCGCAAAGGCACTTCCGAAGAAACCGCATGCCGCCCGACTTCCGTCGTAGAAAGTTTGCGCGCGGACCCCAGCGGCAACAACTGCGGCACATGCGCCAAATACAAGGGCACTTACCGCAGCCGTAGAAGCGGCGCACAGCGCACTGGGGGGAGGGCGCGCACGGGCGAGGGCCTTGGCGGAGACGAACCCTCGAGGACAGGAGGTTTACGGAGCGGCAACGCAGCAGTGGACGGGCGCCCCCCGCAGAAATCACGGGGCGCACGGTCTGTATATGCATCAAAAAACAGACTGTGGCGGAGGAAGGAAATTTGACACCCTGGGGTAGCTTGTAAAAACTCAGGACGAGTTTCCTACCTGTTACTGGTGTCATCACACGCAGCAGATTGCCACCAAACGTGCTTACCCACCTTCGCTGTACAATTGTTGTGCAATTCGATGTCGGCGGCTTTCTATCTTAGTTTCACCCGTGCAATTGGTCGTACAATCTTAAAGCAATTATTGTACACTCTACGTTTGAATTACGTTTAAATTACGTTTCAAATACGTTTTAATTACCTCCTTGAAGCAGCCTCCGAATGTCGATGCGGTTCGGATTACGGAGGTGAATTGACCTCGCGCGTCGGTTCGCAATGTGAATGCGTTGCGTCGGGCCCTCGCGTCAGCGCATCGCTTCGACTTGGGCGCGCTGGCGCGCCCATAGTGGGCCGTCGGCGCGATCCGCAACATCGCGCCGCATTGGTGGCAATGCAATGTTGGCGCGGAAGCCCATCGGCTAGATGAATCACCGCGCGCCCGGGGGCGCAGAATGGCGGCACGCCCGCCAGCGATCGAAAGCGAAACCGCGGCGCAGCCGCGCGCTGCCGCGGGCGCCCGCCCGCGCGATCGTGACCTGACAGGAAGGCAGATGCAAAGACGCGGCTGCGACCGTTACGCGTAGACGGCGCATCGAGACGGGCGGGCCGCCGCGGCCGCCGCGACCAAAGCTGGGTCGGAGGCGGGAGGGCGCAGCGCGCCAAAAGCTTCTGCGTTCCACGTCGCGGCGCGGCAGCGCGAAATGGGCGGCGCGGGGCGGGCGCGCGGAGAACATCTTCAACGGCGGCGCGTCCGCTCTGCGGCGCGCAACGCACCCGAATCGTTCCGATAGAATCCAACGGGCATCTCGCCGCGCAGAGGGGCGGCCCAGGAATGCCCCGCGCACTGTGGACCTACTTCGCAAGAATGGTCGAAACATGATTGCGTCGCGCATTGCAGTTCGGATCAAACGCCGCCTTCATGACGCAACAATGCTCGCGCATGCCATGGTTAGCGGGCTTGCGCCATGCGCAAGACACGCCAACGCGCGCTGTAAATGACAACGGCATGTCCGCCCCACTAGGGCGCTGCAACAAACGATCTTGGTAGAAAAAGCAAAAGCTGCCAAAATGGCATGGGGCGCGGAAACAGACGAGTGATAATTATTCGCGCGCGTCGCGGCGCCATCCACGTGAGCGCGCTGCCGCTGAAGAACTAGAATCCACGCGCGCGATGGCGCGCGCCATGCGGAGCGCTGGTTCAGGCGGGCGCTGGCGACGGTTCGTCGAATGGCGGCGGCGTGCCTGATAACGCCGCGCAGCCCTGGAAATGAAAACAGCAATGCAAAGGGAGGCGCGGCGGGCAATGTTTCCCGCGGGCATCGCGATGTCGCCGCGCCGACGACCGTCGCGGCTGCATTTGGTCTCCAATGCCAAAAAGTGGACATACGACACGAATCGGCGTTCGCATCTGATCCCGCCGCGCGCGCGCAACGCGCGCGGGTGGCAGCGTCCGTTGTGGCGCGCATGCCTAATACCAAATGTGAGACTCGCGTTTCAAGGCAGAAGCACGGAGGCATGCAACGACAATCACGAAGCTGGTCGCCCCTGCATTGGCAGCGCGCGATGAACCGACGCCCGCGCGGAACGCGAGGATATAATTGACCCAGGAAACAAGCAGACGTTACAAGACGGATTCGCAGCCCGAGTCGCAGCCCAAGTTCGCGCCTGCTGGCGCCGTAAAATCATGTTCAACAAGCCGCCCGATGCTACCGAAACGCCTTGCGCATGACACAATCACGAACGCAACGCTGGCGGTATTGCCGCTGCAGTCGGGACTTGCGCCGTTGCCACTGAAATAGCAGCCGCCGCGCTTAGCGATCGCAGAATGCAAAGGTCACAACAGAATGCGTTCGTCTTGTTCGATGACGACATCAACCGAAGTCTCTGCGATTCAATTATCGTTCGCAACGGCGAAACAACATTTTCCGCGCGACGGAACTCGCAGCCCCACGGGCGCCAACGAGGCGAGCATCTGCGCGCATTGCGGCGCCCGCTGCGGGCGGGGGGGTGGCAACCTGGAAGCCATGTCAAAAACAGCAGCCGCGGCGCGCGCGAGCACACTGCAAATGGCTCTTTACTAATGCCGACGACAACGCTACCCAAAATGACACTGTTACCTATCGGGCCTACAAGAAACACGCGCCGTTCGTCGCGGAACTAATGGCTGATGTTGCCACGACAACGGCGGGGGGAACAGCGACGCCAGCGCGTGGCCAGCGATGCCAGCGGGCGCAGCGGGGCACGCAGCGCAGCGCCAGTTGTGCCACCGCAGAGGAAAAGCCCGACGATTAGAGTCTTCGCGCGAGGCCCGCAATGTGAATCACGCCGCCCAGGAGATCGGATTCCGATAACACGCGTCGCGCGCGTGGATAGGATCGCGCTGACGCGTCGCCCGCAAGCGTCAGCGCGGTCACACAACGTCTCTCAGTGCCAGGTTCGCTATAATCGCCTTCATGTTTACCAACATGCGTTACCCCATATTGAGTAAAGTCGAGTGTGTTGGCGGCTACCACTACGACAACGACTACTACTGCGGCGTTTGCGATTACTGCTGCTACGACGACAACTAGAATTATGATTACCATCACTACTGCAATGTATAACAATAGTAACAAGTAGTTCTGTAATACCACGGCCACTGCAGCTACTGATGTCAGGAACCTCGGTTGTTACCAGTAGCAGCATCAATAGCACCACTGCGGCAACTGCGATTACTACGACGACCCATAACATTACAATTGCGACGATATTAATTATATGTTTTACTCCTACTGCTACTACTACGTCTACTACCAAGACTGCTACTACGACTACTGCTGCCACTATTGCTACTAATGGTGCAATGTAGCCGTGCTGTACCACTGCGTCAGCGCTGTCTTAGCGTTCAACGAGCGACGCGAGGCGGGCCACTCGAAAAGCCTACTGTGGTTGCAACACCGTAGGAGTAACTGCCCGGGTAACGCTGACATATTTTGCTTCGGATGGGCACGTCGCTTGTGCGATTGTGATCGCACCCCTCCTTCCACGAGCATGCGCAGTGTTCTTCGTGCCGCTGGTGCCCTCCGAAACGACGCTCCAACAGTTGTCGTGCTCTCTGCATACAACGTGGCAAGCACGATTATAAACATGATCGTTGCCGCGCGCTGCTTTCACTTACGCGCGTGGCGCGTGTAGGAAAGGACATGACGCTATAACGACAGCGTCGCGCTGTCGCCGCGCGCACAGCCCCCCAATTGTCAAAACAAAAAAAAAACTCACGTTTCTGAGGCGACCACGTCGCCAGACAACATGCCCTTTCGGCGCCCAAGGGCCGTTGCGTTAACGGCGTGGCCCGCGATGCGACAGCCTTTGCTTTGCTCACAACCCCAACGTGGTCCTCCAGAGACCGATGGCCCCGCAAAGGGGGTTATGTTTGAAACGACACAGCAAGAAACACAACGGAAGCCCTAACATTTGCCCTTCGACACGCAGAACCACGTCTGTGATCCAGATGCGATCAGAAACTGCGCTGTTGGGCCCTCGCGGGGGCCTTGCAGGACTACCGCGGCTCCAATTGTTGCCGCTGGGGGCAGAACAAGCGACGGAGTTGGGCGGAACACGGAGGCTGGATGAGGATCTACAGGCCGAGAAGGACGACAACGATGAAATCGGGTAGGAAACGCCGAATGAGGATCGAAGGAAAGAAACGGGCAATGGGGGGAGGGAAAGAGAAACAAAAACACCGATTGATACAAAAACAAACTACCGTGAATATCAGGAACGGGGCTGTAGTGCCCACATCAAGACATAACCGCGGCACCTCATTGCCCGCAGAGAAAACCTAGAAAGGGTGGCGGAACGTGCCGCAGACATCCTTTGAGCACTGCCCGAACGGGTGGCGGAAATTGCCGCGGGCATTATTTAAGCACGCCCTGCGCCAAAATGAGGAAGTCTAGAGCGGGAGACAAATAGCGGGGGGGCAGGAGGGAAAACCAGGGGGAGGAAGAAGCAGCGGATGATGGATAAACCCGTAGGCGCATGATGCTGAATCATGATGATGATGAGGCCGATGGTAACCATGCCCATTTCCAATGCTCAAACGGGCCCCGGGCCCTCTCAGTCGCGCAGCGGCCGCTCCTCTCTGAGCAGGGCCTCCGCGTCAGGCAACTGCTCTAATGGCTGGCGCGCCGCCGCGCGCTCCGCAAACGCGGGCTGGCAGGCGCGCAGGCGCAGCGCCTTCGCAGGGAAAGCTGGGCACCTGCGCTGGGCGAGCCAAGCGGCAATGAGACCCAATGGCCTGCCCTGGGCCGCTCTACGCCCAGGGCGCGCAGTGCGCGTGATCTGGCATCTGCCGTGCTCCTCGCGGTGGTCGCAGTAACCGTAGAAAGCTTGAGACGATGCATAAAAAACGATGAAACCGCCAGGCGCATGCGCCGTTGGATTCGCCATGTGCCGCGGCCCAACAGGCCCGCGAGGGCCTTCTCCGCCGCCGCCGCCGCCACCAGGCGGGGGATCCTCCGGCGGCGGCGCGGGGGGCGGCGGCAGCGGCGGCTGCGGGGGCGGAGGCGGATCGCCTCCGCCCCCGTCATTATGATTTCCCCCGCCGTTGCCACTGCCATCGACCATGTCAGCAGGGTCGCCGTCGTCGCTGGTCGGGCTGTCGTCGGACTCCTCCTGCTGCGGCGATGCCTCGCTGTCGCGGTCGGACGCCAGGTCGGGCTCGCGGTCGGATTCGCCATCTGGTTCGGCGCCGCGCAGGTCGCCATCGGAAGCGTCGGAGCTGTCGTCGGGCGGGCGCTGCCCCCAGGATGCCCGATTCGAAGCGCCACCCGACCGCGGCGGCCAGATCGCGCGCAGCAGCGCGCCATTGCGCGCATGTCGGGCGTCATGACGAAATAAGCCACCATCCATTTGAAAGGGCGATCCACCCGATTCATGGCCTGGACATCGTTCTGGAACTCTGCGCGAGGGCGCAGCGTGATTTCATGCCCAGGAGCAACAACGCAGCCTGCATCAAAAGCCACGCATGAACCGTCCATGATATGAAACATGGCTTTGTGAGGCGAGATCTGTTGCTTGGCAATGTGGCACCGCCAATGGCTGACCACTCTCGGCTGCCCCTCGGCAGAGTCTGAGACGCGGGACGTGGCAACGAACACGGCGAATACTTTGGCGTCGACAACCATCTGGCGAGCTACAGGGCGAAGCGAAGGACTGAACTCTTTGCCCCAACCCTTTTTGCGACAATTTTCCCGCATGTTCCACCACCCCGAGCCGTCACCACTGCACAAGCACATGCCATATATTGAACACACGGGCGTCTTGTCGCGATCTGGAAGAGGCTCCCTTCCATCACCGCGGCTCACCACTTCGTGCATGCGTGACCATTCGCGCAAGATGGCCTCGTGAACGCTATTGCCAAGAGGCGTGAAGTTGCTGAGGGCAGTAATCTCCTTCGCCTTTTCAAGCGAGGCAATGGGGCTGAACTCCCAATGCGTGAACAGTTCCGACAAGGCAGGCGTTGGTATAACGTCTGAGGCAAGCATGCCGAAGTCTGCAAAGCCAGGAAACCGCGAGCTGATGACGTCCAGTTGGCTTTTTCATATACTCCTCGAGCCGCTCGGTGCGGGCAGCTCTCGCTGCCGTCTCAGACTTCCTAGCAGCCCTGGCCGTCGCCATCACCTGTGTGACGGCTGTCCAAGAAGATAACTCCAGCTCCGCCCCTGGCACAAACCTCACGAGTTGCCCAGGGGCTCCTGCGCCAACGCCGCCACCGGGGAGCGATGCAGCTTGCGCGGCTTCCTTGAGTTCAGCGCGGCGCCGCTGCCTCTTAGTGGGCCCAAAGGGGTTGTCGACGCCGTGGAGGCGATGCCGAGCGGTTGCGCCATTCCCTTTCTCCAGGAGATCTGCGTGCCGATCAGGCTCCTCGGCTCGAATGCGCTTGAGCTCAGCGCGCAGTTCACCCATCGACTTTGCAGGGCCAGGGAGCTTGAGCTGCTCGCTGAAGAATGCCCTCTGGACGCCACCAGTCTTGCGCACCCTTCGCGGCGGCGCTGCCGCGCCAGATCCACGAACCCTCTGAGGAAGAAGCCCGCGTGAACCGCATGGCCGAGATGCCTTCAACCGCTTCCGAAAGCCTTGGGTGAGGCGGCAAGCGCTGATGAGCTCACGTCGTGGGACGTGTGTCTGCACAGGAAGGCCATGGAGCCATCGGCGCAGCGATGCGCGGGTTGCCTCAACAGGTGCTTGATCTCACAACGTCAAGAGAATAACAGTTAACAACCCGACTGCCCTGCCAGTCGGCGCCAAGTCACCCCCACGGCGACCAAGGAAGTCAGTACTCCAGGAGCCCTTCATGCCGCGGCAATCGGACTTGACCTGGGGCTGATGAAGCTAGCGTGCACACAAAAATGTGATGATGTGGAGCGCAGGAGGTGAGAACGTCTTAAGAGAGCGGTGTGTGTGTGTGTGTGTGTGTGGGGGGGGAGTATAAGTAGGCCCCAACCCTCCTCCTTCCTCTCCTCCCCCAGAAGCCCTCATCCATTCTCCATCCCCTCGTCGTCGTCCTCTCGGATCTCCTCAACCTCTCCTCTCATGCCTCCTCCGTCGTTCCTATCTCCTCCCGCTCTCCTATGGTTCAAGCCAGTGTTTCACGTGATTGTTAAGTCCCTCGAACCTCTTCCGCCAAAACCAGGCCATCGAATCGCCTGGCCATCTTGCAGGGGCACCCCTGGTGGTGGTCAACCAGGTAGCGCTGCGCCTCAGCAGCGGCACGAGACACAAGACTGATGCAAGTCTGTTGAACATCTTCTCGGCGGTAACCGTTCGGCACTGCCCCCCATGCTTCCTGGGGGAACAACAAATTCGAAAGTGAAATGATGCAGCGTTCCTCGTGCACGTTCTGCGCTGCAAGGAGCATTCGGTAGTCTCGCTGGCGAATGTCACTGAAGCCCTCTGACTTGGATCTGCCAAGGTGCTTCTCCCGTTCCACGAACTCCTAGCCCTTGCCCGACAACGTTAAAATATCCTTGAGTAGCACGCGGAAAGGTTCCATTGTGACCCGCAGTGCGACTACAGTAGCATGAAGCGAGTCGTGCAACAACCATCTCGCAGCAAACTCCCTCTGGTGGTTATTCTCCTTCTCGAATTTGTGCTCAGCATTGGCGGCGTGCCGTTGATCCTCCACCACGTCTTTCTGATCCTCAGGCTCGCCCGCGACGCCGACGACGGGCTGTGCGTCTGGGATGGCTGGGGCCCCGACCGCAGCTCCACCAGCTGCAGGCAGCACAGATTTTGGAACGACACCCCTATTCATGATGATAGCAGATCTGAGAAACGCAGGCATGCCGATGCCATGAACTCCATCTAGGATACCAAGAGCACCGAGAGTCAAATCAGCACCAGTCCACCTAGATATTGGAAATACGTTGGGAGCAGATCCACATAAAGCCTTCACGAAATATGACAGAAACCAAGTGTCGCACTTCCTTCTCCTCTCTCGGAACCCCCATGGTCCAGTGCTCAAAAACATCAACATTCTCCCAGTTGCCATTCGCAATAAACGAAATTAAAGCCCTGCGACCGAGGTTGTGCTTCCCACTGCAGAAGCAATCAAGTACGGCACGCTGGTGCACACGATGCCAAGAAAGGGGCACACCATCAATAATACGTAAACTCTCATCAATGGTATCTCGGACGACTTGTCGAAATACCCCCATCGCACCAGGCTGATTGAGAGCGAGGCTCCAATTTACGATGGAAGAAAAATCAGCTTCACGAAGTTTAGCAACGTTCTTGTTACTATTAGCCCACCTGTGAGTATGACACGTGGTATGCAACGTGGGGTACCCATTCAATATCGAAATGCACTCCTCAGCTTTTCCATCGGCAGAGTCACCACCAATGCAAGATAGTTGGATGATCCGCTGGAATCCGCAGCCGCGCCCTCCGGCACGGAATCGTTTGTTCTCTGGTCGTCGGACTTCCCCTCCCAGACCAACGATTTGCCCAGCAGCAGCCCCAGCAACCCTTCGAGTCCCAGCAGGCCCACGCCGTATCTCATCGCTGCTCCCTGAATGAATGCTCTGGTACCCAGAAGCCCTCCACCAACCTTGAAAACGCATTTCGCCCAAGGAGGGGAGTGCGCCAAAACCACCCAGCCCCAGAGCCCCCCCCCCCCGAGACTCCCTCCAGCGCTGGGAAACCGCAAGAGGCCACGCGAGATTCCCAGGAGGCCCCCAGACGCCCACATATACCTTCAAGACTCTAAAAGAACCGAAAAGATCCCGAAACAGTTCCAGGAGGCATCCGCCATAGCTTCAGAAGCACCTCGAGAGACCGCCAGGCGACATGGCCACAGAACACCCGAACTCACTTTCCTTCCACGCTGGCACGGTAGCGGGATTTGCCGAAAGCAATGATATAGATTCTGACATGGGCCTAAGTCGGGCTCCGTTCGAGAAAGTGCTTCCACAAAATCTTCTGCCGACGTCGACGCCAAAGCCTGCACTGGGGCGAAAACATCGAACGTCACCAACACATACCCTCCAGAACGCAGGTGGGATAACGTTGAGACACGCCACTCTGATTGAAGCAACTTCGCAGGCACCGAATCGTACGATTCCATTCTCAAAAGATCAGCCAAGAACTTCGGGATATCGGAGAAAGCCGCAGACGTGTCGACAAATGACCCAGATTTAGATGACGTGTTGGAGTCCTTGACGTTGATTCTCATCGGAGTCTCATCGTAACGAACCTGCTTCGCCAGCAGAACGGGCTGACCACCATCTCGCACCACAGATGTTACCGCCTTTGCAAGAAGTGACGTGTGCAAAAACTTCTGCAGAGCGAGGCCAGCGGCAGCCAGCTGGCTACGTCGAACAGACGGCTGATTTCGCTCCACTCCAATCTTGTTGGCAAGAGCAACTGAGCTCATGAGAAACTGTTCACCATAAAATATTTCATCTCCCTGAGCCACAACATCACCGACAAGTCTGTTAGGATTGCAAGTCGCACCAAGACCAACACCGATCTGATGAGAAAGATTGCCAACTGGTGCTGCAACGACTATCGCAAGATCATCTGCCAGAACATCATCATGTGAAACGGGACGGCTGACAACAGCATCTTCAGCAACACTACCGATGCCAACACTGACATCGCCATCGCGATCGAGATCTGCGTCTGCTGGCTCTGGCGTCGGGAACCCCAGAAGACCGCCACCATAATCGATGAGACCATCATCGGCGTGCTGTTCACCGCTTGGTGCCTCAACGAGCGGCGCACCCAGGTCGGCATCGGGGCTGGGATCAGAAACATCACCGAACGACGCGTGACCAGACCAGGACCGTCGAACACAGGCTCCAGCCGAGGAAGCCCACGAAGCCCTCTGACCGCACAACGGTGCCGATGCTGCGCCCCAAGACTGTCTCCGCGCATTCTGCTCCGAGCGAGCTGCACCTGACTTGTGGCCCCAGGCTTTTCTCATCGTCCATGCGCGTCTGCACGGCCGAGAATACGACGTGTCGCACTCTAGACGGATAGCAGCGGCAACAGCCGCCAAAGGGAGAAGAACCAGAACTCTTACACAATCCACTGAGAATGATATGGAGGCGGCGAACCGCGAAATAATATGGAATGCGCGCAGTGCGCGAACACTGGGAGAAAACACTGGAATCGAGATTATCGAAGAAGCCAGCTGGCTTGATCCACAACGGCCGCGAACGCACAGCCGCAGAACGACGAAACCCGTCGATGTGACAAAAATCGGCATCGGAGCCCGTGTTTGAGCTATATTTGGGCACGTGGTGCGCAACGTGACATGTCACGCCCGCGCGTGTCCGAGCTTGATTTTAAGACCTGGACTTGAGGATTTCGGGGCCGCGGACGACGGCGAGAGGAAACATATCACCACTTCCCTGTCAATCTAACACGAGCTGGCGAGCGAACCGTGGCGAGGCGCCCCCAGCCGCCCTTTGCCCCCGTGGCAGCCCTGGCGGCGCGGTTCCCTTTCTGAGGGCCGACGCAGTAGCAGGATCGCCACGGAAACAATTGGACCAGGGACGCCAAACGCCAGGGAAGCCCGACTGCCCTCTAGCGGGGCGGAGCGGGGGGCGACGGGCGCTACTCTGGGAAATTTTGACAAAATCAAAAAGCCCCCCATACGTTGCTTCTGTACACATGAGAACATGTGCCAGGCCCTGTCGTGCTAGCTAACCAAGACCACCCTGATTGTGTTGCCTTAGCTTCCTCTTCCTGTTCCTCTTCCTCCATGTCCTCCTCATCCGCCTTGCAACATATAACAACAAACGGCAAAACAACATCGCACCCCCTCAGCAACCCACAGTCTGCACCCTTGCCCCTGTGACCGAATGATTCGATACTGACCGAGGGAGCACGCGCGCCGCAGAATGGTCACAGCCAAGTGGCTCCTCCCGCGCGCCCACCGCCACCACAAAAAAGCTGGCCCCGCCACGCGCTCGCCCAGCCCAACCCCCCAGCCCCTCCCGCAGACCACCAACCCATGGAAACATGCCCCCCCCCCCCC